GAGGGGGGGAGGGGGGGCTAGGGTTGTACAAGGTCGGTTACAGAGAAAGGAATCTACATATCCGAATCGCCAAGCTTGCCTTCCACGCAAAGGAGAGTCCCATCCGGACACGGGGTGAAGTCTTCTATCTTGTATCTTCATAGTCCAACAGTCCGGCCAAAGTATATAGTCCGGCTGTCCGAGGACCCTTTAGTCCAGGACTCCCTCACCGGTTGCCGACCCTCATGGATCTGGCTGTTGACAAGTTTTGGAATGCTCCAGCGGAGATCTTTATTGGGTGCTTGCCGCGTGTAGATTACTAGAGCGGATGGGATTCAGTCGTGTGCGCCCATATTTCATCCCGAGTGGTTTCAGGAGGGTGTGACGCGAAACTTCGATATCTATTGACATTATGGGGCATGTTTTCAATTTCCATGGTGAAGACACTAGCGGAGAACGTCATGGTGGCTAAGATCTGAGGCCTTGTAATGGCAGATCGAGTCTTCGTGGCGATGAGGACTTTGATTGGTGATTCGTGACTCGTTGCAGCGGTATCAGCAAGTGGGGATGACATCATAGGCGGAGTACATAGTCTTAGCTTTCAGGGTGAAAACCCAAGGTCTGGTCTTAATTGGTTGTGCCTGGCAGTGACCTTGTCGAAGGCATTGTTTTGAGAGCGTGGATATTTTCCATGGTGAATACCTAAGATCTAGGATCGGGCGATGGACGATGCTTGTGCATTGTTTCCTTCTTACAGGCATCGCTTTTGGAGAATTTGGACTTTGGGTGTTGTCTAGGTGATGGTTCGTGCTGCAACTACAAGAAATTGGTCACTCTAGCGGGATTTTTTTTTCTTTTTTCTTCTTCCTTTTGTCTTTTGGCTGTGTGCATCTATAATGTTTTTACGATATTGTGTTGTTGCAGAGATGAGATGTAATTGAAATCTTCACGATATCAATATATTCCCCTTGTCGAAAATCTCTATTCTCTACAGAGCCGAGCAATGTAGATCCTGACTAATCAGCAGCAGCAGAGCCCAAGCAAATGAGAAAGTGACGAGAACAGCCGCTAATCAAGAAGCAATTGAAGGGAAAAAGAAAAGTCTTAATTTCCTCTGTCAAGCCGTAATCAGGATCGTGCGCAACGACCACAACACGCCCCTCCATCATTGCTCACAGATCGTGCCGGCGGTTTCAAACTTTCAAGGGGGTCCATGCTTTGCTTGCCACACGGTGATATGATGACCACGCCACGGCGGGACACGTTTAAAACGCAGGAAAATGTGCCACACGGTGATGCCATGACCCCATGGTTTTTACAGGGAATTTGCTATGGCAATTAGCCAGTGCGAGAAAATGATATATCGGGTGGGTTATACTCCATGATTCGGTTGGGTTCAAAGTGACCACCGAAGATGACCTACTTGATTCCCTTCATCATGTAGGCATAGATTGTGGTTTGGTGGCAACCACCAAGAAGTACAGAAACGTCTTCTCCGATCTTGAGAAGAGGAACGAGAAAGCAGAAAAATCACAAGCACAACGCGTGTCAGTGAGTCAACAAACACGTAACGTAACGGCCGAGAGATTCGACATCGCCGCATCATTCTTAATCCCATTCCGATCAGCTGAAGTCGTCTGCACTATCAGACACCGAACTCCCGGCCACAAAATGAACAGGATAATAACCGTGAAACACCACTCCAAAAATGAATAGGTTAATCGGAGGTTCCTTTCCGGTAAAGATAATCATTTTATTTCAGCAGACCATGGCATCTCCGTGATGATGGGTCAAATGTCAACAGGTTGGGCTAATTAGGCCGGCGTCAGCGTAAGTGCGCAGTAATGGCCGTGTCGCCGAAAGGAAAACAAGTACACACGCGTGACCCATCGATGGATTGAACGTCTCGCCTATATATATTCACGGCTAGCTTGGCGCCACCTGCTGTCTACTCGGCCCAGCGCGCGAACCACCACCATGTGCCCTTGTCCCGTCTGAGCGAGAATCGTTGTCGCAAGCTCACGGGCGCCCGCACCACCAATCCACCACAGCACCGGCTGTACGGCGGCTTTTAGATTCAGTTGGCATCCGGGGCACTGCAGAGCACAGGGAAGAAGAAGAAGAAGTAGGACCAGAGCTGGGGGAGATGGTGGCACAGAATCAGAGGACGCCGGGAGACCAGGTAGAGGAGGGGCGCCGCTCAGGGCCCGTCGATCGATCGAGTGTAGGGTGTGTGTGTGTGTGGTGTGTTCTTGGTGATTGATTTGGTGTGTTGTGGGCTGGTGATGCAGGTGTTCTGGCCCAAGGTGGTGCTCAAGAAATGGCTCAACCTCAGGAGCAAGGACGCCAAGTTCAACGCGGACGAGGACGACGGCGACGACGACGGGGAGCAAGGTGGGTGGGTGCTAGCAAGATCGAGTTCCCGGCTCGAGTTTCGCTCGCCGGGGATCGCAGCCTCCTTCATCCCCTTCTCACCATTTTTGCTTCCTGTCCATCTCGTGCAGAGGAGAACTGCGGCTGCGACGGCGCCGGGACGGAGCGGGAGGCCGTCGGCGTGAACATCGCCGGTGAGCTCTTTCACATCTCAGTTTCACCTCATTTTTATGTTTGGAAAATTGGTTGCGTGCTTCCGCGGATCCATGAGCTGTTCTTATCCGATCCTGAAGACGGGGAAAAGTGCAGCTTTGGACCGTTTAGCCCTTTTGGGGAAACATTGCTGATACCAGATTCCCACCGTCAAAAGTAGATCAGTGCCAGTACTTGATTTTGGTTGAGGACTTGTTGTCGATTTTGCGCATTTTCACAATCATCAGCGTTGCTTCTGACCATCGAACACCTGTTACTACTCCCCCCGTTCCAAATTACTCGTCGTGGTTTTAGTTCAAATTTAAACTAAAACCACGACGAGTAATTTGGAACCGAGGGAGTACGTGTTACCACTGCCAAATTTGCATTCTGAACTACTGGTACTAGTCGGAAGCAAAATTCAGAGTAATTCCTCATGAACCGCCCTGTTGTTCTTGAACGATCTGCAGAAGAGAGCCTGGATGCCGCGCCGTACAAGCTGCGGCGGCGGAACTCGGAGACGATGCGCGCGCAGTACATCAACACCAAGGAGCTCAGGTACAGCCCAAGTGTTCGGCACGATCGCGGCGCATTCCCGTTTTCTCGCGGTTCTTGGCGTGGTGCTGATTGATGGATTCGTGCTGCAGGATCTGCATTGGCACGTACAACGCCGCCGGCATAGAGCCGCCGGAAGGCCTCGACATCGCCGAGTGGCTCGGCACCACCGGCGGCGAGCAGGCCGACATGTACGTGCTCGGCTTCCAGGAAGTGGTGCCGCTCAACACCGGCAACGTGTTCGGCGCGGAGGACGTCCGGCCGGCGCTGGCGTGGGAGGCGCTCATCCGCGACACGCTCACGCGGACGCAGCCGTCCTGCTCGAGGCCCAAGTACCGGTACCGCAGCCACCCGGCCACTCCGACCCGCGACGACTCCGACGAGCTGTTCCCCGGCGGCACCGACACTGAAACCGACGACGACGCGCCCTTCAGCTTCCCGGTGTACCCCGAGGAGTACGTGGCCGCCACCCCCAGGATGCTCGGGGCCATGGAGGACGAGCAGCCAAGGGCGCAGCAGAGGGCGCTCCTGAAGACGATGAGCAAGACGGACAGGATCGGGCTCGCCTGGCCGGAGCAGCCGTTGGACCTGATGGCCACCGCGTCCTTGTCATCGGCGTCGTTCAAGTCGCCGAGATCGTTCGGCGCGCACAGGTCGTTCATGAAGTCCAGGGTCGCCGCCGCCGACTGCCCGGCCATGGTCCCCGACCTGGACCTGGATCTCGACGGCAAGGCCGCGCGTGGAGGCAAGAAGAAGGGCGGCGGCAGGTCGCCGTTCGTGAGGATCGTGAGCAAGCAGATGGTGGGCGTGTTCCTGACCATCTGGGTGCGGCGCGGCCTGCGGAGGTGCGTCCAGAACATCAAGGTGTCCACCGTGGGCGTGGGCGCCATGGGCTACATCGGCAACAAGGGGTCGGTGTCGGCGAGCATGTCCATCTACCAGACCATGTTCTGCTTCGTGTGCACCCACCTGTCCGCCGGCGAGCGGCCCGGCAACCTCCTCAAGCGGAACGCCGACGTGCAGGAGATCCACCGGCGGACGCGCTTCGCCGGGCCCGGCGGCCTCGAGCTGCCCAGAGACATCTACGACCACGAGTCAGTGATCAACTGATCATGCACGCAACACATCTTACTACTACGAAATTGCATCCACCAATGCATCACCCCGGTGATTTGACAGAGATGTTCTTCCGCAGGAGGATTTTCTGGCTGGGTGATCTCAACTACCGGATCGACGTGCCGTACGACAGAGTGCACGGCCTGGTGTCCGCCATGGACTGGCCTCAGCTAGCCGAGAAAGATCAGGTACGCAGTGTCGCTCTTCATCATCGCCGCCATGGAACTCTGAACCATGTTGCTGATGCTCCGTTTGTTGTGATGATCAGCTGAAGCGGGAGCTGAGGAAGGGGCGGGCGTTCGAGGGGTGGAGCGAGGGGGTGCTCGAGTTCGCGCCCACGTACAAGTACGAGGTCGGGACGGGGAAGTACATCGGCGACGACCAGAAGGGCGGGAGGCGGACGCCGGCGTGGTGCGACCGGGTGCTGTCGTTCGGGAAGGGGGTGAGGCTGCTGGGTTACGGCAGGTCGGAGCTGGCGCTGTCGGACCACAAGCCGGTGACGGCGACGTACGCGGCGGAGGTGGAGGTGTTTTGCGGGAGGAAGCTGCAGAGGGCGCTCACGCTCACGGACGCCGAGGTGGAGAGCGGCGACGTGGTCGTGCCGGACCTCGAGTTTTGAGCTGGTCGGCGGTGCCGAACACGACATGGACATGCAGCTAGTTTTCAGCTGCGTCGACAAATCTTGGACGGGATGGTGTCGTGTGGGTGATGCTCCGCTCTGACGAAACATGTGTGACGGTGTCAATGGCATCAGTCGGTCTGGTGGTCTTAATCATCGGCAGATCAATGAATCTATAGGATTTTTTTCCCTTCACCTTTGAGTTAGTTACCTTTCTCCCCTGTCAGGCTGTCAGTATGGTGAGATAGTGTGCTGTTTGAATCACACCCAGTGGCACAGAAGCATAAAAAACAGAAAGAATGAGGCAAAAATCAACAGCAAAAAAATGCACCAGCCGGGAATCGAACCCGGGTCTGTACCGTGGCAGGGTACTATTCTACCACTAGACCACTGGTGCTTATGATGCTAATCAAAAGGAAAAAAGGGATTACTTGGTTTGTGTTCTAAACAGAGAACAAAACAGTTTTTTTTTTTGGCGAAACACAAGCTTTACTGCTTAAACAGGAGGATTATATAGAGCTTGAATACAACCTAGAAGAAAAGAGGGTACATAGTTAACCCATAAACATCTTCTACGATTCTCGCTAGCCTGTCTGGCGCATCTATGCCGTCTCGGTTTGCATGCGCGAGTTCGAAGGAATCAAAACTGGAGCTCACCTCTTGGACCTCATAAACAAATGGAAGCAATATCCGCCCTCTTGAAATTTGCAACATCGATCATCCGGACAACCTCCTGCGCATCACTCTCGATGATAACCTTGCGGAAGCCAAGATCCATTGCTAAACGGATACAATCTCGGGTTGCCAAGGCTTCCATGAACCTTGCATTTTGCGTGTACCGGTACCATATAGCCTGAGCTCAGATTAACTCACCATTGTGGTTTCGAATCACCATTCCCGTGTCTCCATGAGCCAAGTTTCCTGAATAGCTGGCATCAACATTCACCTTGATAAAGGTTTTCACTGGCGGTAACCAGCTCGTATTCTCTCTCAGCATTCGGTGCTTCTTCACTCCTTCCAATGTAGCAAGATCATGAATAGTATCAGTTGCAAATGGAACGACATCGTTCCCCATGTCTCATATTGTTCCATTCTGTCCAGACGCGTCCAGGTCCAGCACCCAACTAAGATAATGGCAGCAAGTGATTCCGAAACTTCCTTGTTGTCAACAATATCAACAGCCCAAGAGTCTGGATGAAGAACTGGAATTCTGGCCGAAAGAAAACGCTTTAGTTCTGATAAAAAAAACCTTAGCTCATGTACAAGAGAATGAAACAGAATTAAGCTACGAGGTAATAAAAGGAGGCCTTTGGTCTGCCCTACTTAAGGACTGCATGGGTCATGTCTTTTTTTCTTTTTTTAAGAAGATGGGTCCTAGTCGTTGCTCGTGAGTCCTCTCGCGAAAGCAACGGCGGCCTGCACAGACAAGACTCACGAGAGGACACGATGTGATGCAACCACGTGACACGACCGCCGTGTTGATCATGTCACAGTATAGTTGAACGCGCATGACAGGTCCGCTCTTTTTCTTGCAAAATAATATCGAGCAAAATAGATGCAAAAAAGAAGACGAAAGGCATAACCTTCGTTACATTAATACTACTAGACGTTAACGCGCCCTTATCCGCGCCGTTATTCACTCGTTAGATTAACACTTTTATATCTTTTCCTAAAAAATAAACTCTTTTATACCCTCCGTCTCAAAATAAGTGCCTCAAGCTTAGTACAGCTTTGTACTAAAGTTTACAAAATTGAGACATTTATTTTGGAACGGAGGGAGTAGATTACTCTCGCGAAAAAAAATCTAATAGATTACTGCGATCGGTTATTTTGTTTGGATTTTATCTGTGTTGGGTTTATGTTTTAGTTATATTACCAGGGTGTTTTTTCCCTTTGTATATTGCGTTCGGTTGCAGTTGGAGACAATATTTTGTTCCAACAGGACAGTGGAGTTATCTGGTGCGTGGTTGGGGTGTCTTTACACATGATGTCAGCCGATGATGATTTGTTTGGGCCTATTATGAGCTTCTGTTTAACGCTAAAATGTGAATTATTGTTGCAACGCTAACATGGGTCGGCCTACAAAGCTCTTTGTTCGCTTAGTTTGGCTCCTTGCTCCTCTCATTCATTTAGTTTTTTCCGCTCGGCCCACTGCTACGTCAGAAAAAAGGCTATCTTTTTTGATAAAGTTAGTTGAATTAAAAGATGTTCAAGGATTTTTAAGAAAAATTGCAAATTTGAAAAATTATGCAATTACGAAATAATCATGTATTTTAAATATATTCATGGATTTCACAAAATGTTGGCAAATTAAATAAGTTCTCATATTTAAAAAATATTCACAAACTTGAAAAATACCCACAAATTTAATAAAATTAATGAATCTAAAAAAAGTGATTTTTATTTTTTTTATGTTCACAAAAATTAATAAGAACTCATGAATTAAAATGTGAAAAAAGAAAAAAAAGAGAAAAAAACTAAACAACACACACCATTATAGGAGAGGCCCAATGACCCCACCGTCCCCGAAGCATCAGGACACTTCAAATCAAGGGAACTTAGGGGCTGTTTGGTTCTCGCGAGTGTCGGCCCTGCCGATCTTAGCGAGCCAAATATTTGGCGCAGGATCTGGCTGTCCAGATTTGTCAACAATTTTGGCGTCAAAGTAAACTGAAAGAGTTGGGGTGGGCTGGGTGCGCCAAAAAATTGATGCCAATTCAAACAGGACGTCAAGCCTGGTCGACGACCAAATTTTTGGATTGGCAGCTAAGGGTTGCGATCAAACAGCCCCTTGGCATCTCTATACATATGGCAGTCCACCCAACGATGCTCTGGAAGTAATCATACTCCTACTACTGTGGTGTCGACAACACTATGTGAGATCGGCTCAAGCTATGGGGAGAAGAAGCTGTCGATATCTTGCAAATGCTAACGTTTGCCATGACCAGTTGCTGCCAGGGATTTCCGTTTCTTGCCAAACTGAATCTAGGCATTTTATTGCAACATGTCTTGTGAATTTATCATGACCTTAGCCGCCTCCTCCTCCAAGAAAAAAGTTAGGGTTCGTGCCTCTCGCTAGCGCCGCTGCAGGTCCGCCTCGTCTTCAGTGGCCCTAGGGCCCTGGAGGCGCGGTGGATCCTGGTAAGGGCCGGCGGGAGGGCTATGTTTTTAGTCGTTTTTTCAATCTTGTTAGGGTTTGCGTCCTGACCAGGAAGGCGAGACGGCGGCGGCTCCCTGAAGATGGAATAAAGGTCTCGCCGTCTAGCCCCCGTTTGTCAGGCCCTGTTCATGTTCTCCCCTGTTTCTATTGCCGTTCTGGTGGTGCGTCTAGCATCATTGGTGGGCGTGTGGAGGTGTGTCTCCGGCGGATTTATCTTTGGTGGATTTGCTCAGATCTCGTTGTTGTTCGTCTACGTTCGCGTGTCTTTGATTTGGATTTTTTCTGATCTACGTTATTCTTCGTCGGCGGCGGTTGATATTCTGGTGTGCTCCTATGGTGCCTTAGCACGACGACTTCCCGACTGTCTACTACAACAAGTTGTGTCCGACTCTGGTGATGGAGGGGCGATGATGGTGGCGCGCCTTCGGCTCGCTTCAGTGCTTGTAGTCGTCGCTGGTTGGTCTACGAAACTGGATGTAATTTTTATTTCTAGTGTCCATTGTACTGTCATGATTGAAGATGAATAGATCAATTTTTTTTTTCAAAAAAAGAATTTATCGTGACCTTGCAAACCACAAATTGGTAGCAAGGGGGCATGCATCTGATCCTGGGTGTCCGTGGATTGTTGCCATGCACTTGTCCAACGGCGCACGCGTGACATGATTGCCCGCCATTCGCCCCAGCGATCCGCCACTGGCCACCAGATGCTAGCTACCACCCCGTGACCGACTAACATGCATATGCTTCACCTCTAGCAGCTTTACTGAAAAGGAAGTGTCACACTCCAACTGTCAACGCCCCTGACACGAGTGCCCCATAAGGCAGCGACCCCGGCCAGCCTCGCGCTGTCCCGCGCGCGGCCCGCACCAGGATGCCCAGCTGCAGGACCAGCGACCCGGAATGGAGCAAGTGAAGCCCCACCAGGTCAAGTACTAAAGGAGACGGTGGCACCAGGAATCGCCATCCATAGGATCACGGCAACGGCGGCACGAGTCTTCCCTTTTTCCCCTTCCTCTACCTCATGAACCCTAGATCGTGATTCGTGTAATCCGCCTCTGTAATCGCTACCAAGACTACTGTTAATCGAGAGCCCTAGTAGTTCCTATCATCTGGTATCAGAGACCACTAAGATTCCCACCTCCACTCCATTCTGGCGCAACTAATCGAGACCAGGGGCCTCAAGCAAGCGCGTACACACTTGGCAGCCATGGATCTGGCGATCGAAGCCTTCCTCGACCGCCTCGACAACACCCTCAAGGCCCAGAACAAGGCCATCGCGGAGATCCAGGTCTCCACCGCCAAGATCGACAATCTGGTTCACCGGCGTCCCGATCTGGAGAAGCGAGTGGCCGATCTCGGCGATGCGGTGGTGGCGCTCCACATGGTGCAACCACCAGCAGTCAAGACGGGAGACGAGCCTCAAGGGGCGATGCAGAAGCAAGGCCCTTCTGCGATGACCGGCGTCCTTCCGGGGGCCGGTGGCGGCGTGGGCAACGAGCTTCAAGGGCCAAGCGGCCACGACGTGTTCAATTTGCCACGGGGGAACATAGCGGCGTCTTTTCAGACGCCGCCGCCACCCCCGGCAACAGGTCCGTCATCCTCTCTGACCACATCCCCGCCCTCACTATCGCCGTTTGCCCACGCGAGTCAGCTGCTAGCGGGTTTAGGGCAGTCTCACCCGTCCATCGCCTTCCCTCAGTTCACGGGCGACAACCCAAACTTGTGGAAGACGATGTGTGAACAGTACTTTCAAATGTTCGGCATCTTACAATCGTTCCGGGTTCCCATGGCGGCCCTGAATTTCTCAGGATCAGCGGCTGTTTGGCTGCAGTCCATTCAG